GATGGGCCGTCAACTTGTTTGACATTCTATGTTTGATATATAATGATTTAGAATCAGGGAAAGTATTTCGTAACATACGAGTACATAAAAACAAAGAATTAAAAATCTCGTAAATTTGAAAGTCGTTTAAAAATTGTACACAAAATTGTCGAATTGAATTAAAACAGTGAACTGTAAATTCTTATAAGTGGAAAGAATCACTATTAGGTCAATGCACTCTAAATCTCTTTTTCTTTTTTATTTAAACAAAAAAGTTGCAAATAGTTGAGATGGATACTGTTAAAGCTAAGAGCCCATTATTAGGGTTCTTTAGCGTTTCCCAATAATCACTGCGCAATGTTTACTGATCGCTCCGTAAAATCAGACCTTCCAGAATAATCCCGCTGTCTCAGAACAGAGGGAATGAAATTCCATCCGCTAACGTTCCTTCGTGCTAATTTAATTTGGACCTATTAATTAATCCCCCGGTATCGTCTAGGCTAATAACAGTTATATTTCTTTAAATATGTATAAGAATAATTTGTTTGAAGATTTTGCATAGTTTTTATTTATCAAACAATTAAACAATGTTATTATATAATAAATGTTTCGCTTTCATTGTAACGACGGATTAATGGATGTTTGTTACTTTTTACCAGAGGGAGACTTTGTACAAAAGTCGTTTGATTAAGTACGTCTGTCCCATTCGTGTTTCAACCGTAAAGCAGTTGTGTTTGCATGGCTGTAGAAAAATTAAAGTCTTTCTCGGTGAATTAACACATGCCTGTCACAAGGACGAAGTTACGAATAAAAGCTAGTCATTTTATAAATATATAGCTATTATAGAATATTTTTATGGAATAAATCGTTAATGTCAGTTAGTGCCATGCCATAATTCTCTTGCAAAACGCTCAATAGATAGTAGCCATATTACGACCGTTTAATTAGTAATTTATATAAAAATCTGTGGAAGAAACCAATATTAAAGACACTTGGTAAGATTCAAGACTTGAATAATCTCTAACCAAGTTATATTTCTTTTTAGCATATTCCTTTTTAAAAGGCCGGCAGCACACCTGCAATGCCGTAGGTGTTGTGGGTGACCATGGATCGCGGTAGTCACTTACCATCAGGTGAGCCACATGCTCGTTTGCCCCCTGTGTTGTAGCAAGTCATGCAACAATCTCGAGGAGACCTACTTAAGGACTATATTTTTTTTAATGGATGATAATGGAATGCTTACCCCATCTGCACTATCGGTATACACAGACGGGACACCAGTGAGGGATTATAGGTGAGGATAAAGGGCAGTTAGCCCACTATGATTTCCAGGAGGAACCACGAGGAGGTCGACCTGATATAGTATATCGCTAGCATCGAAGCTACTAATCCCCATTACTAACAATCCCTTCTCCCACCTTAAGGACTATTTGTACCTACATATATATTTATTTTTTAAAGAATGAAAATTAAATAATAACCCCGCCTGCGTTATCGATATATACTGACGGGGCACCAATGGGGGATGATAGACGAGGATGAAAACAGGTCAGTTCGTCCACCGTAACGAATTCGACAAGATTAATGGTTTCCAGGGGGAACCGCGTGGAGTACGACCTGATAGGATGTATCGCTATCAATGGAACGATTAGACCCCATTACTAACAAACCTTTTTTCTCTACATACATACATACAGATTACGCCAAGTATAATACATATTTTTATGGTTGAAAATGGAATGATGCAACTAACGCTATACGGGGGGGGGGGGGGGAGGAATTGTCAGTAATGAGGTCTGATGACAAGAATTTACCATGATAGTTATCAGGGGGAACCAGGGGGAATTGCTAGCAATGAGAACTAACCTCCTCATTACTAACAATCCCTTTCCCTAACCAATAATGGAAATAGATAGAAACTAAGATTTTAATAAGCTTTAGTAAATACCAAAATATTATTTTAAAGTAAATCTTAAGAACCGGATCAGTTCGGATTTCGTTTACTATTCATGCAGAACTAACTATTCGATGAAAGTGAACGAAAGGCGATGTGTGTGAGACGTAGAAAGTTATTAGCATATATGTATGATGTTTAAGAAAATGCAAATAATAGTTTGAATGGCGACAAACAAGTTCAAAGTTCAAAAATGTTACGCCTTCACATTTATCATCATTTACTAGGATTCATTCTAAACAATCTAATGAAAAGTTATCATATATGTATACAGAAAGAGACATTTTTTTATATTTTTTTATGCAACTTAAAATGGCATACAAACTGACGGCCCACCTGATGTGAAGTGGTAACCGTCGCCTATAGACATGAGCAGTATCGTGAACATAACAGAGTATACCGTTTCGCCTATGATACTCCCCATGCGTTACCATTCCTGAGGACTCACGTGTTATTTCTTCGTACCCTGTAAATTCACTGTCATATCCCACCTGTTAAATCGAACCGTAACACAAACGCAACTGCTTCACGGTAGAAACGCGAATGGAACAGAGATGCACAAGCAAACGACTTTTATACAAAGTCTCTCTGTGGTGACTTTAACCGTCTACACGTCTCTTCATCAGTTAAGATTGTAGTTAATCATGAGAATCTCTAATAATTAAAAAATAACCATTAGAAGATCAGTATTTAAAGCCCATACTAACATCAAAACTGTAGAAAAGTAGCATCTGCCTCTTGCCTTGAAACGACAGTCACCATTAGATCACCATGTATATACCTACTGCCTAGTGATGACGAAATGACTAAATAGTGGATCGCTGTACAAGGAGTAAAAGTAAACTTTCTTAGCACCATGACACTCAACCAGGATGTTGCCTCTAAGCCTTTATTTTTGTTCGTAGATTTATATTTAATTTTCTATAATTTTTCTCATTAAATATTTTTTTAAAAATTCAATTAAATTAGTAATTGATAGGAATATAAATCGATTAAACTTACCAGTGTTCGTAATCTGTAGGAAAGATATTTAACCTAATCCTTATTTGAAAACAAACTTAGCTTTATCAGGTAGATTTTCTAGGAACTTAATATCTAGCCAAGTTCTCAGAATCTCTAGTTTAATTTAAGTGAATACGTATTAATCTTTATACCTACGTTATTCCTCAATGAACTATATTATTTACAAAATGAGCTTGTCTAGAAGACCTAAAGATATTATTTATTTACTTGTAACACTTTATATTACAGTAAAGTTCAAAATAGGATATAGAGTTCTTAAAAAAATCAAGATTTTTTTTATTCAACTTAATATGGCAAATGACAAAGATTACATATAAAGATCCGTCAGTATTCTACGACTATGACGATATAAGAACACCAGTAAACAACATATATATATATATATATATATATATATATATATATATATACACACACAATCATCATCATCAACTATCCACTGCTGAACATAAACCTCCCTCTTGATGGGGTCTTGCCAATAGATTGGCAATCGCAGTTAGGCTTTTAGAGATGTTCCAAAGAACGCTGCTGTCCATCTATCAATAAGTTCTTTTAGTCACCTCTTACGATATCTACCGGAAAGAAAGCGGTGATTTATTCCATGTTAGGACCGCACAGAAAAACCAAATATATATAAATATTATACATATTGCACAAAACTAAACTAGCGCATCTGCAAAATAACCCCAGAATGTTTTAAGACGGGTTTTAAATTTTATATGCAACTATGATAATATAAATATAAATCTATTAGAGAATATGCAAATACATGAACTAGAAAGCTACAAATTATTCAAATCACAAAACATCACAAAGCTTATGGCTAAAATATACAGTTTAGCAAGATCTAATACAAAAGATTTCATTGGTCAAAAGGTCCATTCAGTTCCCACACTTAATGCAAATAAGGTAACAAGATAACCTCATCATGATCTTACTTTTATAAATAAATTAAACCCATACACAGAAATGCGTTTTTAATAGTACTCTGTACAACATAATATACTTTCTTTTTTGCGACTTGACCTAAAACAATATCATAATGAACAAAGACCTCTCCCACATGCTCGTGTAATAATAGTGTGTAAAATTATTGTCTGACAAGTTTTAATTCATGTTTTAAAAGAATGCCAATGTCTTAATCCATTGTTGATTGCCCACACTGTCACGGCCTTAGAATTGAATACGAACTATCGGTCAAGTGCGTTCACCTGTCCCCGTCACAACCACGGAAACTCGACTTAGGTAATTATTTTTTTTATATGAAAAATATTTTCATTTTTTATTGTACTTTTGAAATTGATTTTTATTTTAAATTCTACCTATCAAATCATTTAATTGTATAGTTACCATATAAATGATTTTTTTTTATGAAAGCCGTATCACTCAAAATCTTAACGTCTTAATCTTAAAATCTTAATCATTTCAAAATTCATTTTAATTTTAAAGTAAAATCTCTAGGACTGATACTATTGCAATGAATAAAAAAATATGAAAATTAAATGTGTGAAATGTTTAAAAATTTAGCGGAGAGGATGTGGGGCATTATTAAAATATTTTATTAATCGAAATAAAACAAAAAAAAAATATTTACATAATTTTACAATTTATTAGTTTTATTTCAATTCCAATTTATAAAGTCACAAATCTTGTTAAACTTGAAATAAAAGCATCGTAACAATTAGCGATAGAATGGGTAACTCCAGAAATTCAAAGAAATAAAACATTCCCCAAAGGACATAAATCCTTACATAAAAATATATTTTGAACTTTCCATGCACACAGCACTGTCCATTTGTTGATTCAATTTAGTTTGGAAAAATTAAAAGTAATTAACTATGCTTATTAAGTAACAAAAATTGTAATGTAAAAGTGTAATTGTAATGTAAATATCATTGATACAACAGACATGAGAAAAAGACAACCTCAACCTTCATAAAACTTTCGCGAGAATTAAACGAGAACCAATAGTAAATGGTTGCGTTTGCGCAGAGTGGAACAGAGACAAAACATGTACAGTGAGAGCATTCACCATTGCAATCTCTCCAAGGCAACTCGTATGGTCATGAAACGCGAGAAATACAGCCAACGAAAGTTACACCGGTGACTTACGACGTTCTACGTGGTAACTCGTGTATGTGACATGTACACAGTCGCACGACTGGCGAAGAAACTGAGTTCGGCATAAATCAAATCCGCGTGTGTTTTCCACAGATTAAAACGGAGAAAATTATTGTGTGTGCTAATAATTGTGTCCTCAAGTGTATCTTGTGACGGTTTCCTTCAACGTTTCGTGTGCAGTAAAAGTGGCCAGACATGTAATCGTCGCCCGTCGTAAAAGGAGATAAAAAACTGGGTTCGCCAATTTCTCTTTCGATCCGTTTCGTATTTTCGGCGAGTGTAGGTAATATGGATTCTGAAGGCGTTGCTATGTAAGTATTTACATTATTGTTTATTGCACTACGATGAGTAAACTCTTTTCTAACAGGATTGTTTAGTTTATGTGTAACTTTTCTAGAACGTGTTTATTATTGTGTACTTTTTATAAATACAATTATGAGCTTTATAGGTATATAACTTACTTTTTAATTTGAATTAAGAATTTAATTGATTTTTTAAATGCTTGTTAATGGGGCAGCCGGTAGATGGCGTGCTAAAGGTAAATTAGGTAATTATATCAATTTATATACATGTGAAATTAAATATTTGAAAATATATTATGATTATAATTATGTATAAGTATTTAAAGATGAAAGTTTCATCATCACGCAATTTTTAAACGGTTTTAAAAAAGTTTAAGTAGCGTTATTTAACTGTATTCTTTTAGGGTCAGTGCATACCCTTAATCTCAACTAAAAGAGACTGTCCAAAATTGAAAATATAGGTGTTTCTGCACCACTTGTGTTTATAGTGCTAAGTCAGCTATGCTTTCATAGCTGTTTTTTCGATTTGAAGGATAAAATATGAGACAGTGATATTGTAGCGCATAGAAGTAAAACACTTTAGTCCTCAGGAATGATAGAGCATAAAGATACCATAGGTGTTACAGAATATTCTGTAATGGCCGTAGTGTTGTTGATGTCTATAGGCAGTGGGTAACACTTTTCAAGAAATGGGCCGCGTTTGCATGTTTGTTCTGGCATTAAGACAAAACTATAGCTCCAAATTGTTAGCTTATTTGCCATCCCAAGTTGTATGCAAAATGTTGGGATTTCTTTTAACGAAAGGATTATCTTTTCATGATACAAAAATATAAATAACTAGCTTTGACCTGTAACTTCGCCCACGTGACCGCAATATATTTACTGACCAGGATAAAACCCTATGTTTTATCCCATCCCATACGTATCATAATTTTTTTTCAGCCATTATCCGTCCACTGCTGGACATAAACCTCCCCCATAGACTGCCATAAAAAACGGTCATGAGCCACCTACATCTACTGACTTCCTGCAACGCATTTCAGATCGTCACTCCATCTAGTGGGGGTCGTCCTATACTGCGTTTACCCGTACGTGGTCGCCAGTCAAGAACCTTTCTTCCCCATCGGTTGTTGGTTCTTCGAGCTATGTGACCAGCCCATTGCCGCTTCAGCTTGCTTATCCTTCGGGCTATGTCGGTTATTTTGATTCTTTTGCAGATATCCTCGTTTCGGATTCTATCACGCAAAGAAACTCCGAGCATAGCCCTCTCCATAGCCTGCTGAGCAACTTGTAGCTTTTGCATACGGGCAATCGTGTAGGACCATGTTTCGGTTCCGTAAGACATCACTGGCAACACCCACTGGTTAAAGACCTTGGACTTCAAATTCTGAGGTATTTTGGTGAAAAAATGTGGCGTAGTTCCCCGAACGCTATCCAGCTTACGTATATAGTATCCCATACATATATAGTACATCAATCATCATATCAGTTGTTTGTTATCCACTGCTGAATCCTCTCCTATAACGGGGATTCTGCAACTAATTGCCACATTTGGCAGACGGGTTGGCAACCACAGTTAGCCTTTGGTGATGTTCTAAGAAGGACGCTACTGCCCATCCCTCAATTACTAAGTTCCCTTAACCGTATCTTACGACACTCACGGGAGAGGAAGGTGTGGTACATTCTATGCAGGCACCACACGGCTAGCTGTCTTAAAAGACACTCCCTTAAAATAATGCTATTTCGATTTCACTTGAAATGATAACACTTCAGAATTAAATTTGGTATATGGCAGTCACTTCATTGGGAGCGTCAAGTTGTTTTTCATTGAATTGCTGTGATTTCATGTAGGTCTCTTATTCTTCTAACCATAACATAGTACTGTACGCTATTTTTTTTTTTAATGAATGGTAATGGAATGGTAGCCCCACCCGCGCTATCGGTATACACCGGCGGGGCACCAGTGAAGGATGATAGGTGAGGATGAAGTAGGTTAGTTAGCCCATCGTGACGAATTTAACAAGAATTGTTCACGATGGTTTCCAAGGAAAACCACGAGGAGTTCTACCTAATAAGCCATATTGCTAGCAATGGAGTTTGACAGCTCCAATCCCTTTTCCCACCTACTGTACGCTATTAGATATTACAATATACATAGAAAACTACTACCTAATTTGTCAATAACTACATGAGGATACTAAAAGCATGTAGTTTTAACAATCGTCCATTTGTCTTGGTATGAGCATGTGATGCGGAGATATGAAGGTAATAGGGTCAATTCTGTGACGCCATTCTCCAAAATTATCCATAAAAATTAACATTTTAATTTGATAATTTCGCAAAAGTATTATTTCATGTGCGTCATGGATAGTCGCCATTAAATTTAATATATACATACTATATGCGATGGAGAAGGATATAGGCTTTATTATTCAGTGAAAATATCCCGGTCATACAACAAACAATAACGTTGCGGGTAAAACCTACCTATTTAATAACTCGAAATATTGGAGTCGATTATAAGGGTGCGTATCATATATATCATATCAGACTTTAACTGTCCACTGCTGAACATAAGCCTCCCCATTGGGGGGTTTTGCCAGTAGTTGCCACGTTTGGCACATCTTTGATTGAATTGGTCTTTGATCTTTGATGATATTTTAAGAGGAACCCTGCTGCCCATCCCATGACCGTTAAGTTCGCTTCTTACGACACCCACGCGAAAGAAAGGGGTGGCCTATTCCATGCCGGGACTACATGGAAAACCAGCATATAAAAGATCAAATCCTTTCTCGTTATTTATTTATTTATTCATTAGTACAAATATGTGTACATAGTGCTTAATAGACTTAATGCTTAAAACATTCTCTCCCAGTCAACCATAGGGAAGTGTCAGAATACTCGAATGTAGTATGTAGTAGTAGTACCGCTACTAATTATTGATGTACATACATACTAAAATTACATATATAAACGAATAAATATATATGAATAACAAATATACATACACATATATGATATATACTATATTATACACGAAATTGAGAATAATATAAAGCACTTACTTCAATATAGTATATTAATACTAAAATAAAAATACTAAAAATCTATATTAGAAAAAAAGAAAGAAAGAAACTTTATTTTATTGAAATATATGACTACACACACACAAAGAGGTAAAAGAAATTATTAAGAATTATAATAACGAAACTGCACACAAAATATTTATATATAAATAAAGAATATAAAATAAAATAAGAAAAAAAAAACAATTCGCATTATAACGGTTTCATCCAAAATGAGTGTGTGTGTGCGTGCGTCGCAATACCTGCAAAATGAGATCCGTGCTCAGCATTTTGCTGTAGTGTCAGGGACACTACAGCACTGATTTTCAGCACGACCCTCGGCAACCCACGAGGTCTGAATAATAACAATAAATTTTGGATACATTTTATCGACAGGGAGTTCACCCTCATACCTTACAGCCTAAATGGTCGCGTACAACGCGGTTTCAGAAATGTTTTCTCCCACGAACACTCAGGTTATGGAATGAGCTGCCGAGGTTTTCCCAAGAAATTACAGCATGGAGTTCTTCAAAAAGGGGGTTAAGAGGTTCAGGTCGGCAACGCGCGCGTAATACCTCTGGTATTGCAGGCGTTCATAGGCTACGGTAACCTTACTAACTTACCATCACGTATGCTTGTTTGCCAACTCAGTGGTATAAAAAAATTTGGATAAGTTATTAATAGATTTTTTTATGTGGTAATAAATTAAGAATACAGTCTGTTACCATTTCTTAACGGTCTGTATGTTACAATGCGTATAGAGAAAAATTACACAGTTAAATATTGTAACATTCTGCGTACCCTAACATAATTTATTTGCTTAATTACTGCAAGTAACAAACAAGCTGACGGGCTATAACACTTAAATGCTTAAGGGTGTGTTTTGTCTATAACTAACGAGACGCTCCGACTTCGCGCGTTTTTTTTTATAAAATATAGTCCATGTTTTTCGCTGTAAATATAGCTTTTTGTAGTTGAAAGAGTTTTTAAAATTAGTTAAATATATTTTTGTTTTTATTTATCCATTACACACAATAAATTTTTACCATCGTACAGTTTATCATAAACTAAAGTTCCATCCCAATCATCTGGATAAGTGGCGTTCTTCCATTGTGATTTTTTTAAGTCACTTTCTTCCACGTTTTGAAATTAACTCCCAGCAGCAGTATTTTCGAACCAATATGACATTGTAACCATCAAGAAAAGAGCATATTCCCTTTTAAAAGGTCTTTTATGTAAATGTAAATTGGATTCTTTTTTCGTACTAAGCCTCACATTTGTGCGTATTTAAAAGACCTACAATTCTTACGGTATAGCAGATGCTCATTGGCGGCGATAGGCATTTACTATCAGGCGAGCCGCATGCTCCTTTGCCCTTGTGCTATAAAAGAAATTAAATCGTGACTCTTTATAATATTAGTTTAGAAGAACGGTCATTACTTCACTATTATTCACCAGAGAGAAACTTTGTACAAAAGTTGTTTACTTGGGCAGCTCTGTCCCATTAGTGTTTCTACCGTGAAGCAGTTGTGTTTGCATGGCTGTGTTTCGGTTTGAAGGGTGGGATATGGCAGTGCATTTACCCGTCTATGCCATTTCTATTTATACCTATGTCTATGTCTCTCATTTCACTGGGAGATTGTCCACAAAACCGTTTGAGATAAGCAACACAACTTTTATAAGGACGGGTCACGACTCTTAGTAACCTAGTGACTAAGAAGAAAGTATTTCACTTAGAAATAACAAACAAGATATTTTACGCAATTTTTTTTTATACAGCTTACAATGGCAAACAAGCTGACGGCCCACCTGATGGAAAGTGGTAACCATTGCCTATAGACATGAGCAGTACCATGGACATAACAGAGTAAACTGTGTTTCACACAAAAACTACTGAAGGGACTTGAATGAAAATTGGTATACTGGTAGATTAATATCCTTAAT